TTTTACTTGAATTATGTAAGCCAATTGTAGTTACTTATACAAAATGACGCTCTATGCGTACACCATTAAAATCACACAAAAAAATCTGTAAGTTCTTTTAGTGTGTAATTATTAAGCACGAAATCATTTTTGCCTATTGTGGGCGGTTTCATCACAATTTAAGAATAATTATGATTATAATTAAAACGTTAAGAATGATAATTTAATTAAAACGTTAAGACTAATTATGATTTAATTTAAACGTAATATTTTATGTTTTTTATAAGAACATCACTTGCTTAAATTATGAAAGCATTAATAATTACTGATATTAATTATAAAAATATATTTTGTTCAAGCAACAAATATGAACTTTATTATTTTAAGAAGTTCCTAGTTAATAGCTTATTCATTCAAAATCTTAAGCGCTAGGTATTCCTTGGATTAATATTTACTTAATTAAAACACAAGAGAGCATAAATATGCTTCCAAATAATGTCCCGAAAACATATCCTATAACTTATTATTTAGTTGAAGCTCGGGAAACAATTTCCAATAATTACCCTTTCAACTAATTCATACGCCGACGTGAATAAATTGTATGTATTTTTCATCCTATTTGAATTTCACCATTTTGAATATGTTTATCTTCGACTATTTGTTAAAGACACGGTTGTAATTTATAAGAATGAAGTTGTAAAACGTTGGATGATAGGATTAGATATTTAATTGATACACCAAATGAATTTTAACAGTTTGTAGAAGACATTAAGAAAGAAACCGTTACTGAAAGTGATCAGAACTTTTATTAGGAAGTGTTATTTGCAATTAATGAATTAGGAAAAAATATCATGTTTCTAAATATATTTTTAACTGTATTAGGTCAATAATAAACTTTTTCAGAACTTTGATCAAGCGAGCTTTTAAATTAGTGTAGTGAATATTCGATGTTTTTTAAGCATTCCTTTAGCGTAAAAGGTTGATAATGAAATAATGCAGAACCTTTATAAGATATTTTTCTAGTTTATATATATANAGATTTATATATATATATATATATATTGTATATAAATTTACTAAAAAAATTTCGTTGTTAATTTATATAATTTTTACTATGTGCAAATCCATTTCGGGCAATTCCGTGGCTAAAATTATGTGCAAAACAGACAATTCATGTCTCCTTCTCTTTTTCTATTTTTTTTTCTTAAATAAATGCTAATTTTCTAGAATTATTCATTGTCAACTTGTTAAAATTATCCAGTATAATATTACCTTGCGCACATCCAATTTCAGGCCCATCCTTGGTAACTAACAAATCAAACGAACTTCAGTACTGCAATAAGAACGCGCTTACAAAATACAAAACCCGTCAAATTCCTTTACCTCAATTTGCGCTTTTGGTTTCATATTTTGCAATCTGGCAATCTTGTTACGAAAATACTTTAAATCTTTCTTGAAAAATTTCCCGTTCATGTAAGTTCATTTGAATTCGCTACTCTCTTTATAGATTTCATTTCATGTTTTATTCTGTTTTTTCCTAATATTTTATTTTCTGTTTTACGTGATATTTTTACATATTGTGTTCTATTTTATTTGTTGCAATATTTGTTGGAAAATTTCCCGTTTATGTAAGTTTATTTGAATTCGCTACTCGCTTTATAGATTTAATTTCATGTTTTATTCTGTTTTTTTTTCTTTATATTTTACTTTCTGTTTTTACGTGATATTTTTACTTATTGTGTTCTATTTTATTTGCTGTAATTTTTTGTGCAAATTTTTTGTATTGATATATTTTGCTTTGGCTATGTGTATACAATATTAGAAAGCACTCATTTTTGCGGATATAATCGTGTGAGCTGATAAAAAGATTATATCTTTTATTTTCCGGATTTTTTTTTTCAGATTTTTTTCCGGTTTCTTTTTATTTTTATTACTATTTTTCTCTTTCCCCCCTTTTTTCATTGTTCTGTAATTTTTCCCATGTTTTCCCGACATTTTAAAAATGCATAAGGTTCATATTGAAAGTGTCTAGAACTTTAATGGAGGGAATTTTTATTTTATTTTCTCAAAAATTAGGTCAATTTTAAACGAGGGAAAAAATTCTGGTAAAATATCTAATTGAAAAGTAAATTTAACCAAATAAATGTTTTCAGGCAAATGCTCTAATGCTGGTATCATGATAAAAATGCAAAATTTTATAACATATAATAAAACCATATTTTATTGTTGATTTCACTAAAATCTTCACTAAAGTGCTTCAATAAGAATTACCGAACTTTTCTCACAGTGCCGGAAACACGGCAAAATTTGCCATAATTTTGATAGTTTTTACCATATATTTTTCACAAAGTATTAGCTTCTGGAGCTTTTTCTCATTTTGCGTAGATTAAAGTAATGATAAAAAGTTTACTAAAGCGTGCTATAAATATTTGTGCCTCAGTAACTGATTGTGGTAATAGCTAAGGTATTGTTCTAAAAGTTGTAGTTTGGGCCTGATACAAAAATATCCCTTTCCTTGATGTGTTTTTTAAGCCATCATGAACATACTGATAGGATGACTCGAAATCGAATAGAATGGATCACAAGTTTTAAATGAGAGAGCAAAGCCTAAAAAAAGTACAATTTATTAATTTTCTCTATTCACTCGTCTGGACAAGGCAAGAAGGCATAATTTTAATGATCGAGACTTCTTTCACCTTTGAAGCAAATGAAACATTATCAGGCATACCACTGTTAGAACTATTAACGAAATAATTTCTGCTCACCTGATTGAATTTGCTTGACCGACTAATACTAATCTTGTTTATCACGTTGCAATTTTCCTAGTAATGGAATCTATATTATATAAAACGCTAATACGTACGTATGTATGTATCAGTAAAACCGATGATATTTCTTTTCTCGCGCTGGCAACAGTTTTCATTTTTAATTGATTGGATTCGGCGCGCAAGAGCACGTAGTGAGCAACCAGATAACAATAACCAGAGTGAGCATTATCAGGTTGTTCAATTCAGATTCATGCACTAAAAACATGACAATATTTAATTTAAACTCAATTAGGAATTAATTAATTAATTGAAGTGAGAATGCTTTAAAAGGCCGCTGTTGAATTGATATTTTTCTACTGGGAGCTAC